AAAAAAAAAAAAAAAAAAAAAGAACAAATGATTCAATGAAAAAGAATGAATGAAATTCCTGAGCTGAAAACTGCAAGATGGGTATGAGTCAGGAGAGAAAGGTGTTCCAGGCACAGGGGACAGAATATGCAAAACCCTAATTGTGGGAAGCAGCTTCACCTCTCTGAGCCCAATTCTTTGTTTCATAATTTGCAGCTCTGTGTCTGTCCCTCCCTTTCTAGTCGCAGCCTCACTGTCCCCCATCTCTCTCCGCAGGTACGGGCGCCCCTTCGTGGCGGCCACAGAAGAACCGCTCCCGGGCGGCGTCGGGCGGGGCGGCGCTGGCCAGTCCTGGCCCGGGGACGGGATCAGGGGCCCCCGCTGGGTCCGGAGGCAAGGAGCGCTCGGAAAACTTGTCTTTGCGGCGCAGCGTGTCGGAGCTTAGCCTACAGGGGCGGCGGCGGCGGCAGCAGGAACGGAGGCAGCAGGCACTTAGCATGGCCCCAGGGGCAGCCGACGCCCAAATCGGACCTGCAGACCCCGGGGACTTCGATCAGTTGACTCAGTGCCTCATTCAGGCCCCCAGCAACCGCCCCTACTTCCTGCTACTCCAGGGCTACCAGGACGCCCAGGTAAGCGCCGCCCCAGCCCCGCACGCCCAGAGCCCTCGACCCCACCTGTCTGTGGGCGAGCAATAAAACTACAACTCCCAGAATTCCCAGGGTCGCGCTAGCGTCAGGTCCTCTGGGGGGCGTGGTCCAGCAAGGTTTCAGCGTGCAGGAGAGTAGAGATTGACAGATGAGATTCACGGAAGGTGGAGAGAAGATGGCTGAGAAAGTCTACTGGAGGGAGAAATAGGGAATAGTTCACTTTATTCAAAGTTGGAGGAAAGCACTGTCTTCATCATGGGAGAGTCCAACGTGGAAAGAAGATCCCCGCTGGGCGTTCGGCTCACTCCTGTAATCCCAGCACTTTGGAGGCCAAGGTGGCAGAATTGCTTGAAGCCAGGAATTCCAGACTAACCGGACAAGATAGTGAGATCCTGTCTCTACAAAAAAAAAGGAAAAGAAAGAAAGAAAGAAAGAAAAAGCCAGGCTTAGTGGTGTGCACCTGTGGTCCCAGCTACTAAGGAGACTGAGGCAGGAGGATCTCCTGAGCTCAGGAGCTCGAGGCTTCAGTGAGATATGGCACCACTGTACTCCAGCCGGGGTAACACAGAAAGGCCCTGTTTCCAACACAATTTTTTTTTAAGACGGGGTTTCACCATGTTGGTCAGGCTGGTCTTGAACTCCCGACCTTAAGTGATCCGCCCGCCTTGGCCTCCAAAGTGCTTGGATTACAGGCATGAGCCACCACGGCCGGCCACAAATTTTTTAAAAAATGAAAAATTTTAAAAAGAAGATCTCCTTGGAAATACCTGTTTCTTGAGAGAGAGTAACAGGTAAGTCCACCTTCTAGGGCAGGGAAATCATTTGGTGCCTGGGATCATGTTCTGGATAAGCCCATGTTTTCTCGGTACGAGTGCACTGAACCCCCCCCCC